ATAGAGTCTGTTTTATACCGTTTGAAAAACTTCACGATTTTTATTATACTCACGCAGTAAACACGTAAGTGTAACCTGCATTTTATCATCAAAGTTATTTATTCGTTTTAATAAATAACAAATTCCTTCATATACTGGTTGAAATTTTTTTTAAATAGTTAATTTTTTATTGGTTTATATGCCAGCTTTTTACTAATTTCCTGATTGTCTGAAATTGTAAATCTCCATTTTATATACATAATATATGTTTAACATTTCCTAACTTTTGTTTAACAATCTTAGGTCTTAGGTAATGTTTAGAATTATCTATCCAAAACTTTTAAAAATCAGGAGTTTGACAACTTCGGGCTAAATTTCTATGGACAAAAAAACAATCAGCTGTTGAAATGACTTCACCTTATTAGTTTCGCTATGGCTTAGACCATGGCGATAAAAAAAATTCTCTCTTAAAACCGACGCTGTCAAACTCCATGTATAAAAAATTTAATGAATTCGCCGCAAAATGAAATTTTTGTCTTTCTTGTGAAAAGGCAGATTTCCGTTTTTGAGGGGTTAACATTGAGGCCTCTCGGTTGAGTCCAGCTCAAGGCCATATTCAGAGCCTCCTCAGCTCTTCTACACAAGTAATTTGGATCCTTTCCATTTAAAAGTATTACGACATCGTCTGCATAGCAGACAGGTCTAAGTCCTTTCTCGGTTAGGGTCCTTAGGAGGTTATTAATCGTGGTAACTCAAAGCAAAGGTGACAAAATGCCACCGCGAAATACCTTTTTCCTGATAGTTATATCGCCTCGCATCTTATCCATCTGTTCCTTAGCATGTAGTTGATCCAGTTACGGAGCACCCGGTCAACATAAAACTGGTCTAGGGATTGGATAATAGTATCAGTGTGCACGTTATTGAAGGTGCCTTCGATGTCAATGCATACCGCCAGTGTACATAGTTTTCTATCAAAGGATGCACCTATGTAGTGGACAACTTCGTTTAAAGCGGTTTCCACCGATCGTCCCTTTACGTAAGCATGCAGCTTAAATTTTAGGTCTTTGTCGGGTATACTGCTTTTAACCATACTATCGACTATCCGCTTCAAGGTTTTAAGTAGGAAGGACGTAAGATTTATCGGTCGATAAGACTTAGTTGTTGCATAGCTAGGTTTCCCTGGTTTAGGTAAAAATATTACCCTTGCATCCTGCCATTTAATGGGGGTATATGTGAATTTCAAGCATGCAGTGAATATCTGAGACAGATGTACGGAAACCAGTCCCGCCTCCATCTGTAAGAGTGCCGTGAAAATGCCATTCGGCCCTGCAGCTTTATAGGGAGGGAAGCTCTTGATTGCCCCTTTAACCATATCAGATGTAATTACAATGTCCGTGTTAGCCTCCCCTTCCTCCGATATCGGTTCATCAATGTTATTCGATATACCGGGTAGGAAATGAGAGTCCATTAGGAGTTTCATTGTCTCCTCCACCATAGATTCCGGTTGGACATGAGTTTTGGATAGGAATTTTTTTATCTTCGATACGTCATTTACGCTGTCTACTTGTTCACAGAAAAGTTTCCAGGAGTCTCGTTTGGCTTTACGAACAATTTTCTTATATTCACCAAGATTACTACGATACTCATCCCAGTATACTGCGGTCTTTTTACGACGTGCCCGGTTAAATAGTTTGCGAAGAGTCCTACCAAGGTTCCGGATCTCCCCGGTTACCCAGGGTTTCTCCTGGGCAGATCTCCGTCCTCGCAGAGGGCAGCTGTCCTCGAACGATTCAACCAAGGCACTTGTGAGCATTTCTACTTTGGCGTCTATGTCCTCTTTATTTCGACATTGAAAAGTGTTCTGACATAAATGGTTCTTTAGTAAGGAACCGAACGTTGTCCAATTAGTTTTAGACTTATTCCGAAACTTTATCGGCTTTGCTGGTGGTCTTAGTATTTTGAATCTTATGTACCGATGGTCAGAAAAGGAGTGCTAGTCCGAAACTCTCCAATCCTGAATTACGTTTATATGCTATTCTGAACATATAGTTATATCTAATACTTCTTCTCTGATTCTATTGACGAATGTAGCTTTATTACTTCCCAGTAAAAACTTTCATTACAATGAAAGGGGTTAAGATGCTAAAATTTACTTACACAATAGCATTTTAAGTCATTATTTTAACACGGTGATGTCATTGAAAGCAAGTACTTACCGCAAACGATTACAAGTAATTAGAAAATGTAGTCATTGTAAATCGCGTACAGCTTCTATATCTTCACCGCCAAGATGACTAATGAATTATAAAGTATTTATATAAAACATTATTAGTAAGACCTTATTAGACTACTTCATTGAAAAGCATGTTTTTAGGTAAGTAATTACAATTAAAAGCCATTATTAAGGAAATCCATAAGGGCTTGCCCTCTGTGATTGGTGTTTGTACTACCCCAAGCTACACGGTGGGAGTTAGCATCACAACCTATTACAATTTTCTTATTTTTCCGTTGCGTCTCTTCGACCAGTTTCATCAGCTCCGACGTTGGTGGTAGTGTCGGAGAATCGAAAGGTCGGTAAACAGATTCAAGGTATATGTTGCCACGACCTTGCTTCAGCACCGTTGCATCCGATGTGGATAATCCTGTTGAGAGGAGAAAACATAAGTTCTTGTGACATAAGATACATGTTCTCGGTCGAGACCATGTATCAGCGTAGAAAAGTTAGAAATTTACGTGATTTAATCCAGAAACATTGTTGCGAATCGTCCAAGGTTCCTATATTAAAGCTATATGTATCTTTCCTGTGTTAATTTTAGCCATCACAGCGTTGGGAGCTGTCCCGCTCCGATGGAGGTTTATTTGGATAACCTCAATCATTGTCATCCATTTAAACTGTCTTTCAGCGAGTAAGCGGGTATCCTGAAGTGGCTATTGATGCAGTGGGTACCATCGATGGCACTGCGGTGTCCTTATCAGGCATAGCAAGAGCAGTCTTTTTAATCGACACTTTCCCAATTTTGGACAGCACTGCTGTTCTGTCTTCTGGCGAGTGAGTGAGGAGGAACGCTTTTAGGATTTGACTCCTCAAAATTACCAGTACTTGATAATGATGCTTTGGTACCGTCTTAGGTGTTTTAGTGTCCTAATCGGGACCGGTTTTGACATCCCTTTCAATCGGCGCCTCCCCAGTTTTGGAAAGGGCAGCTGCACCTTCTTTCGGCGAGTTTGTGGTACCTTCCTCGCTTTTATTTTGATTTGACTCCTTAACGTTATCAGTAGTTGCTACTGATGCTGTGATCTTAGGTATTTAAGTGTCCTTTTCGAGGCTTGTTGTAACAGCCCTTCCAATCGGCAACTGCCCAATTTTGAACCCAGCAAAAACTCGGTAATGGTTTGTACTTCCATAACCACTTACTTTTCAATGACTACTACTTACCGTCTGCATTACCTAGTAATGACATTCTTATAATCTGATATAGAAGTACTTTATTTTCAGCTTTGTCATTTTGTTTGCACATTTTATTTAATTGCGTTTTAAGAATTGTGTTTTACAAAAAATAAAACAAAATTAGTTTTTTTGTGAAAACCATTATTTGACGCGCAATAAAATAGCTAAGCAGTGGTGCAGTGTGTAGAACACACTGGCTCTTTTATTTATTAAAAAACAAAACAACTTACTAAACAACTGTTTTGTAAGAAAAAATGGCAAGTACTTCTTTAACTCCCTATTTGGAAGCGTGCGTAGAAGTACTTGCCTCAAATGACATCACCGTGTTAAAATAATGACTTAAAATGCTAATGAAGAAGTAGTGAAAAGAGGTTTTATTAGTTTTTTAACTCATTACTTTTCAATGTAAGTTTTTCCTGGGAATATGACAGCTTTAGAGGCGAAGTAAGCCCTACCTTTATTCTTGGTAAGACTAGCCATAGATTTCTGGTCGATACCTATTACAAATAAAGTTCCCTCAGGTTCTTCTTTCCTATAAAAGACGTCCTATTTTTCCACGGCCAGCTCAACATTTTGACCACCAAGAATTTCCAGTATACGTTCATTAACCAGTTTACTGCCCCATCCTTTTATGTAGATAGTGGACTTTAAGAGCACCGGAAGCTCGCTCTTCTTTGCCAGTCCCAGCTTTGCGCGTTCCCAGGGAGGAGGGATAGTTTTCACCAAGTTCTTTAAGTTGCTAACACATTGGTGAGATGCGAACCTCATCAACATCATTGCCCTATCAGATTACCATCATTTGCCTGTCATATTACCGGCATCGTAAACTGCATAGCAGAGATCGTCCCGGAGTCCTCTTCTGGCAACTCTGGCGTAAGATGGCGGCTCTTTTCCACTGTCTAGCCTCTCTTTCCTCGATTTTCGGGGCTTCTTTTGAGATACCCGTACCTTCGAGGTTGATTTCGCCGACGTGGTCATCTTCGGAATATCTATCGGAATATGACTCTCAGGATTCTGACTTGAGGTTCCTTTGAGTGAAGCATGGCTTGGCTTCGACTGTGTATTAGGAAACGGGGAACTCTATTTCTTCTTAGGTTTATTCTGAGTTGTTAACTCTTCGGGAGACCTGATCCTCTTTGCCTCAGATTTTGTGAGAGAGTCCGATTTTTCCTTTGGAGTGTCGTTGGATTGACAAACAATGATTTCCTGAAGCATCTTTTTCAACTTCCTCCTCTATGCTCCAGATAGTATTTTCTTAGTAATAGGTAGTTTAGCTATGCTATAACTCACCTGTTTCACCATTTGCTCTACTTCATCCTTTTGCTATAATGGTGTTGTTATTATCATCTGAGGATTCAGAGTCGTAACCCTCACCTATAATTAAAGCTAAAAACTAAAAACTCACTTTTTCAACACAGGATGTTTTAATTTGGAGGCGTCGATATGAGAATAATTGTTTTACTTTATAAACAAAACCATATTAATACAATGTAATGCAGTTAAACAATTAGTGGAAAAAATAAAATATGTAAATCGCACTTGAATGGGAAAATTATGTGTTACAGTAACTTACGTTTTAATGCCTCCATTTCAATTACATCACTATCGGTGGAAACCCATATATTTTCAAACATGCCAGATTTTTTAATAGTTTTTATAGTAGTTCCAAGTATACTGTTTCCATTAAATTGTAATAAATTTTTATTTTTAATTCCTTTCGAGCCTCCACGAGCTAATATAATTGCATGTGTGTCATTTAAAGTGCTAAAAATGCAAAAATGTATGTAAGAATATTTATAATAATTACATATGGGCAATTTCGTGTCAAGTGACCCAACTGTTAAAATCGATGTCATCGATTTACACCAAGGTTAGTACTATTCACAAATTTCAAGTGTCGGACTTAGAGGAGAAGTGTTGGACTTAGAGGAGATAAAAGTTTTTATACAAATTTTTGCTCAGAAGAAATCTTATACAATTTGCTTTAATGGCTTTATAGTCGCTTAAAATAATGCGAGTGGGATACATATCTATCAAAAAAAAAAAAATTTAATTCAAGAATTCGATAGTGGGAAACGACCCTATTTTTCAAAATGGACGTTTTTGTTGCTTTTTTTGCCCAAAAGAAAGCCTAGATTATTTCCTTGAAGAGCAAATGTAAATTTTAATTTAAAAAATTTAATTTAAAAAATTAAAAAAAAAATTTAAAAGAAGTTTATGGAAACACTGAAGAAAAAGCTATCTGAACTCTTTTGGACAATTTTTGCTAGGACCAACATCCAATAGTACAAACCTTGGTGCAAATTTCATTCAAATCGATTTTTTGAATTTGTCACTTGAAACGAAATTACCCATGTACATATATCTATTGTACTTTAAAAATGTATCTATATACAAGACAATGAGCATGTATGAAACAAGTAATATAACTTCATATTTACATAAGGTCTGTTCGCGTACTTTCCAGTAAAAAATATCCAGTAACTGTATGGTAGAGAGTAATTTTTAATTTACTCTCAATCAAAAAAATATCCAAAAAAGTACGTGAACGTAAATATGTAAAAAGATTGCAAGTTTTTGTTTATAAATAAAGATTAGTAATGCCCTTTTGCTGAAAACTCAGTCGCTAACAAAACACCAAAAAAATGTAAACTATGATTTTTCTTATAAATAAATGGACATTTAAAGTTAATAATATCTTTATAAATATACTAGCTATACCCAGTGTGCTTCGCTACCCTCATCGTAATGGAATATAATAAATATCATTATTGTAAATGTATGTATATATATCTGCAATATCAAAAATTCCCCTTTTAGAAAACTCTTTAATTATTATTATTATTATTATTATTATTATTATTATTATTATTATTATTATTATTATTATTATTATTATTATTATTATTATTATTATTATTATTATTATTATTATTATTATTATTATTATTACAGAAAATTAAAAAAAAAACAGTTGAAGAACGAAAAAGTATATTTTCATTAAATCAGGATGACGCATGTTTAATTTTCAACCAGAAACTAAAAAATCGCATACAGATTTTTATACAATCAGGAAGCTGCATGTCCAATTTTATGTTTTTAGCTTCAATATTATAGAAAAGTGTTAGTAAAAGAACAAAAAAGTACCAAAGTATCCTTTCTCAATTTTCGTTCAATTGGGATACTGCGTGTTTAATTTTATGTTTATATGTTCAATATTTTAGAAAGCTCTAAAAGTACCAGTGAAGTACGAAAAAGTACCAAAAGACCTATTTTATTTAATTTCATGTTCCTAAGTTCAATATTATAGAAAATTCAAAAAGTACCAATTAAAGACCGAAAAAGTACCAGAAAATATTCCAGTTAAAATTTTCATTCACTCAAGTCCCTGATTGCTTAGTTTTATGTCTACCAAAGGCCCCACTTTTATAGATTCTAATTAACTCCACATGCTTAATTTCATGTTTCTAGGATCAATATTATAAAAAACACAAAAAGTGCCCTATTATAGGATCTCACTTAACCCAGGCTCTAAATGTGTAATTTCATGTTTCTAGGTTAAATATTATAGAAAATTCAAAATGTACCTTTTAAAGAACGAAAAAGTACCAAAAAGTCCCCTTTTATAGGTCCTCACTTAATCCGGGCTCAATTTCACGTTTCTAGGTTCAATATTATACAAAAATCCAAAAAGTACCTTTTGAAGAACGAAAAAGTACCAAAAAGTCCCCTTTTATATGTTCTCACTTAATCCAGGCTCTACATACTTAATTTCATGTTTCTAGGTTCAATATTATAGAAAATTCCTTTTGATGAACGAAAAAGTACCAAAAAGTCCCCTTTTATAGATTCTCATTTACTCCAGGCTCTACATGCTTAATTTCATGTTTCTAGGTTAAATTTTATAGAAAACTCAAAAAGTACCAGTCGAAGGACGAAAAAGTACCAAAAAGTCCCCTTTTATAGATTCTCATTTACTCCGGGCTCTTCATGCTTAATTTCACGTTTCTAGGTTCCATATTATACAAAAATCCAAAAAGTACCTTTTGAAGAACGAAAAAGTACCAAAAAGTCCCCTTTTATAGGTTCTCACTTAATCCAGGCTCTACATGCTTAATTTCATGTTTCTAGGTTCAATATTATAGGAAATTCAAAAAGTCCCTTTGAAGAACGAAAAAGTACCAAAAAGTCCCCTTTTATAGATTCTCATTTACTCCGGGCTCTACATGCATAATTTCATGTTTCTAGGTTAAATTTTATAGAAAACTCAAAAAGTACCTTTTGTAGAACGAAACAGTACCAAAAAGTCCCCTTTTATAGATTCTCATTTACTCCGGGCTTTACATGCTTAATTTCATGTTTCTAGGTTCAATATTATAGAAAATTCTAAAAGTACCAGTCGAAGTACGAAAAAGTCCCAAAAAGTCCCCTTTTATAGATTCTCATTTACTCCGGGCTCTACATGCTTAATTTCACGTTTCTAGGTTCAATATTATACAAAAATCCAAAAAGTACCTTTTGAAGAACGAAAAAGTACCAAAAGTCCCCTTTTATAGGTTCTCACTTAATCCATCCTCTACATATTTAATTTCATGTTTCTAGGTTCAATATTATAGGAAATTCAAAAAGTACCTTTTGAAGAACGAAAAAGTACCAAAAATGCCCCTTTTATAGATTCTCATTTACTCCGGGCTCTACATGCTTAATTTCATTTTTCTAGATTAAATTTTATAGAAAACTCAAAAAGTACCAAAAAGTCCCCTTTTATAGATTCTCATTTACTCCGTGCTCTACATGCTTAATTTCATGCTTCTAGGTTTAATTTTAAAGAAAACTCAAAAAAATACCTGTGTAGAACGAAAAAGTAGCGAAAAGTCCCTTTATTATTAATTTCATGTTTCGATTTCAAAATCAAAGAAAACTCAAAAAGTACCAGATGAAGAATGAAAAAGTACCAAAAAATATCACTTGGTACCGGGGTTCCAAATAACACCTCATTAGCATATTTAGTGTTTCTAAATCTAAAAATTGTATCTAAATTGGATCATTGTGTTTGAATAAAATCAAATTTCCCGCTTTTACCCCTTTTGGTACTTTTTTTCTACCCATTAACGAAATAAAAATTCTATTCCAAAATGTTGCAACATCGTAGTGGGAGCCCGTTATTATGTATTTATATGTATAAGTTAATAAACCAAAATCAATGTTTTATGAAAAAAGTACCAAAAATAGGTACAATTTTCACCCCTTAAACATCCGAATAACCAAAAAGTACTAAATGTATATTTTTATTTTTTCGTCAAGTTATGAAGGAGTCAAAAATATTGTTTGAATGTTCACTGGTTTAAAAGATACATGGGGTGCAAAAAAAGTACCAAAATACAGTTTTTACCCGTTTATTCCCTAAAGGGGCCAAAATTGAAAAAAGTACCAGACACCTGTCCGCTTATTTTTTAAATGAACGACGATAAGCTTTAAACTATTTTTGTATCTTTTCTAGTTTAGGAGATATGAGGTTACCGAATTTACCCGTTTTTACCCTTTTTTACCCCCTAACCATTCGAATTTCCAAAAATCCCGTCTTAGTGGATCTATTTGGTGGGAGACCAACCCCCTGTCCAAATTTCAGCTCTTTAGCTTTAACCGTTTAGGCTGTGCGATGATGAATCAGTCAGTCAGTCAGTCAATCAGTCAGTAACGTTAGAATTTTATATATATAGATTATTGTTTTAAAACTTACAAACATATTGTAAAATAAAAATTTACATAAAATCGCTAAGATAAAGACAAACTAAATTCTTTTAAAAACGCTATATTGACAATAGTTGTTATGATCTTTCACAACAAACAAACTCTTTGAAAAACTAATTTATGATAAACAAAATTAAAATAAATCTAGTTACAAATAATTTTTTAATATTCGTGTGTTTATATATTTCTTTCAAAAATGTAAAATTTAGCAGGTTTACGTTTTCTTTGGTTTGTTAACATATTCATATATCAACCATATGTTGTGAATATATGTTGGATATTTTTTACTGGGGAAAAAACATCCAGTAAAATCAAAAAATTCTCTATTAAGGAACATTCATTTTTATCGCTCTCTCGTTGCAAGTTTTCAAAAGTACGGAATCCAGTAACAATTGTTGCAAATTATTACAAATTATCGAGACCTTATATGTTGGATATTTTTTACTGGAGAAAAATATCCAGTAAAATCAAACGAACTGTCATTTTTATCGCTCTCTTACTCTCCGTTGCAAGTGTTCAAAAGTACGCGAACGGAATCCAGTAACATTTGTTACAAATTATCGAGTACGCCAACAGACCTATTATATGTACATACATATGTATGTCAGTTATATTTTTAATAGATAGACTGAGCTGAGAAAATCAAAGTTTTTGATTGGTGTACAGTGCGAATTTGCGTTATATCGATTACAACGCAGAGAGTTATATATATTTCCTTTGATCAGGCGACGAAGAGTATTCCCTTCAAACATTTAAAAGAGAAAACTATTGCGCATCACCCCAGACGCCACGTCAGAAACACTTCTGGACGATTGTCAGACGAGAACGCACATTTTACAAAAACAAAATACATTGATTTCGAATTTTCGTCTTCTAGAAATATACTTTTAAGTTACTTCCGGATGATAGTTAGAAGAGTGCATCCATTTTGCTTAAACAAAAAACCATGCCTGTTGAATTTTTTTCATCTGAAAGTATACGTTTTAGTGACTTCTGTATGAGAGTTGGGTGAG